AAAAATTTTTAATTAAAAATTTTTTTTAATATAAATTAATTTAGTGCCAGCAATTGCGGTTATTCTAAATATATAATTAAATATTATCAATTTTAGTTATATTAATTTTAATTTAAATAAAAATTTTTTATTAAAAATAAAAATAATTATTTTTAGGTAAAATTTTAAATTTTATTTTATTTTTTATTTAATTTTATTAATTTATAATCTAAAAAAATTTTTTTAAAAACTAGGATTAGATACCCTATTATTAAATTATTAAAAATAAAATTATTAAAAATTAAAGTAGTATAAATTTATAAAGTTAAAACTTAAAGAATTTGGCGGTATTTTAGTCTTTTCAGAGGAACTTGTTTTATAATTGATAATCCACATTAAACCTTACTTAAAGTTATATTAATTTGTATATCATTGTCATTAGAATATTTTTTTAAAATAAAAATTTTCAAAATTTAATTTTGTTAATTTTTAAAAAATGTCAAATCAAGATGCAGTTTATTTTTAAGTTAAAATGAGTTACAATAATAAAAAATTTTAGATTATTAATTGAAAATATATTAATAAAAAAATGGATTTGAAAGTAAATATTTATTATAAATAAAAATTTTTTGATTTAAGCTCTAAAATATGTACATATCGCCCGTCGCTCTTGTTTTATTAAATTAGATAAGTCGTAACAAAGTAGATATACTGGAAAGTGTTTCTAGAAATATCAATTTATACTTTTAGTAAGATTTTTCATTTACATTGAAAATAAATATGTGCAAATCATATTAAATTGATTTTATTAAAATAAATTATAATAATTATTTATTAATATTTTTAAATTAAAATAAAAAATAATTTTTTTTTAGTAAATATTTTTGAAATAATAAAAATTAATTATAAGTTAATTGTAATGAAAATGAAAATTGAAATATAACTGAAAAATTTTTAAATAAAAAGAATAATTGATTTTATTTTACCTTGTGTGTCAGGGTTAATTAACAAAATATTTTTAATTAAAATTTTTTAGAAATTAAAAGATTTAAAAATTTAATGTTATTTATTGTAAAATAAATATTAATTTATTAATTTTTTGAAATGAAATATTATTCGATTTTAATTATAACTAATTTTTTTAGAAATAAATTAAATTTAGAAATAAAAAATTTTAATTATTTAATTTAAATAAAATTTTAAAATTTTTTTATTTTTATATATTAAGGGATTAGCTTTATTATAAAATAATTTATATAATAATTAAAAAAAATTAAAAATATTTAAGCTTAAAAATAGTTATTTTTGAAAATTAATGTTATAATTTATTTTTTTTTAATTTTTTTTTAATATTTAATTTTATTATTTATAATTTTTTTTATAAAAAATAATAATTTAATTAAATTTTTAATATTATAATGATTAAATTAGTAAAAATTTTTTTAAAATATTTTTTTTTTAATAAAATTATTTAAATAATTCGACAAAATTTTATATTCAACTGTTTATCAAAAACATTTCTTTTTTGTAAAATATTTTTTTAAAAAGTATAGCCTGCCCATTGAATTTAAAAATTTTAAAGGCCGCAGTACATTAACTGTGCAAAGGTAGCATAATCATTAGTTTTTTAATTGAAAACTTGTATGAAAGGTTGAATGAAATATAAATTGTTTCATTGAATATTAAATTGAATTTTATATTTTAGTTAAAAAGCTAAAATAAAATTTAAAGACGAGAAGACCCTATAAAGCTTTATAAAATTTTAAATTTTTTAATTAATTTAATTTTAAGTTATTTAATATTATTTATTTTATTGGGGTGATAAAAAAATTTATTAAACTTTTTTTTTTATAATCATTTTTAAATGAAAAAATATTGTTTAAAATTGATCCAATTTTTTTGATTATAAAATTAAGTTACTTTAGGGATAACAGCGTAATTTTATTAAAGAGTTCATATTGATAATAAAGATTGCGACCTCGATGTTGGACTAAGAAAAATTTTTGATTAGTGTAGATGCTAAAATATTAAGTCTGTTCGACTTTTAAAATCTTACATGATCTGAGTTCAGACCGGCGTAAGCCAGGTTGGTTTCTATCTTAAATTAATAATTAATATTTTAGTACGAAAGGACCAAATATTAAATTTTATAATTTAAATAATAATTTTTATTAAAATTTTTTAAAAAAAATTATATAAATTAAAAACTATTTTGGCAGAAAAAATGTAATAAATTTAGAATTTATAAATATAATTTAAAATTATAAATAGTAATTTATTATCTATTATTTTTATTAAAAGAAGATTTTTTTATACCTTTAATTTGTAGTTTTATATTAATTATTTTTGTTATAATTGGGGTTGCTTTTTTAACGTTATTAGAACGAAAAATTTTAGGATATATTCAAATTCGTAAAGGGCCTAATAAAGTAGGATTTTTTGGAATTTTTCAGCCTTTTAGTGATGCAATTAAATTATTTTCAAAAGAACAAACTTTTCCTTATGTTTCTAATTATTTAATATATTATTTTTCTCCTATTTTTTCTTTATTTTTATCTTTAATTTGTTGATTATGTATGCCTTTAGTTTTAAAAATTTTTAGTTTTAATTTAGGGATTTTATATTTTTTTAGAATTTTAAGTTTAGGGGTTTATTCTGTTTTAGTTGCTGGTTGATCGTCAAATTCAGTTTATGCTTTATTAGGGGGTTTACGGGCAGTAGCTCAAACTATTTCTTATGAAGTTAGTCTAGTATTAGTTCTTTTATCTTTGCTTTTTTTAATTAGAAGTTTTAATTTTTTTTATTTTTTTTTTTTTCAATTAAACATTTGGTTTATTATCTTTTTATTTCCTATATCTTTAATTTGATTTTGTGTTTTATTAGCTGAGACAAATCGAGCACCTTTCGATTTTGCAGAAGGAGAATCAGAATTAGTTTCAGGGTTTAATGTTGAATATAGTAGTGGGGGGTTTGCTTTAATTTTTTTAGCTGAATATTCAATAATTTTATTTATAAGAATATTATTTTCATTAATATTTCTTGGTGGTAATATTTTTAATTTTTTTTTTTTTTTTAAAATTTCTTTTATTTCTTTTTTATTTATTTGAGTTCGTGGGACTCTTCCTCGGTATCGTTATGATAAGCTAATATATATGGCTTGAAAAATGTTTTTACCTTTTTCTTTAAATTTTATTATGTTTATTATTGGGCTTAAAATTTTTTTATTTTTTTTAATTTTGTTAATTAATTTTAGTATAAAACCAATAAAATATTTTTTTTATCTTATGTTTTCAAAACATATGCTTAAACTCAAGCTCATTGATTATTTTAGTTTAATAATTTATTTCAAATAATATTTAATAAAGGAGTAATTAAAAAATATAAAAAATAAATAAAAGTTAAAATTTGTCCTGTTAAAATAAAGGGGTTTTCTACTAGACGAGCTCCAATTCATGTTAATAAAATAATAATAATAATTAGATTTCAAAATATAAATTGTCTAATAGGATAAAATTGAATGCCTTGAAATTTACTTGTATTAGTAAAAGGTAAAATAAATAAAATTGCAATAGATATCACTAGTGCAATTACACCCCCTAGTTTACTCGGAATTGAACGAAGAATTGCATAAGCAAATAAAAAATATCATTCGGGTTGAATATGGGGAGGGGTAACCAGAGGATTTGCTGGAATGAAGTTATCAGGGTCTCCTAATCTATAGGGCAATTGGATTGTAATAATAAGTAAAAATATGAATAAAATTATAAACCCTAATATATCTTTATAAGAAAAAAAAGGATGAAAAGGAATCTTATCTCTATTTCTATTTAATCCTAATGGGTTATTGGATCCTGTTTGATGAAGAAATAATAAATGAATTATTGTTATTGCTATAATAATAAAGGGGAATAAAAAATGGAAGGTATAAAAACGAGTTAAAGTTGCACTATCAATAGCAAATCCTCCTCATAATCATTGAACAATTTCGTTTCCTAAATAAGGGATAGCAGATACTAAATTTGTAATTACTGTGGCTCCCCAAAAAGATATTTGTCCTCAGGGTAAAACATAACCTATAAAAGCTGTTCCTATAGTTAAAAATAATATTAATACCCCAATTATTCAAGTATAAAAATATTTATAGGACTCATAATAAATTCCTCGCCCAATATGTATATAAATACAAATAAAAAAGAATGAGGCCCCATTTGCGTGAGTAGTTCGTAAAAATCATCCTAAATTTACATCTCGACAAATATGATTAACTGAGTCAAATGCGAGCTCAATTCTGGCGGTATAATGTATCGCAAGAAATAGTCCAGTTAGGGTCTGAATAATTAAACATAGCCCCAATAATGATCCAAAGTTTCAAAAATAAGAAATATTTCTTGGTGTAGGTAAATCAACTAAAGCGTTATTTAAAATTTTAAATAAAGGATGAGTATTGCGCATAGGTTTGTTCATTATTTTATTTAATTTTAAATCATTTAAATTAATTAGTTTTTAGTCGTAAAGGCCCTTCAAAAATATTAGTAATTTTTACTGCTGCAATAAGAGTTAAAAATAAATAAATTATTAGTAAAATTGAAATTATATTAATAGGGTAATTATAAATTTTAATTAAAGAATAAGAATTTTCTGAAATTATTTTTGTTATATTTATTATTAAAAAATTTTCGTTATTGTTAATATATATTAAAATTATTGATTTATCAGTTATTATTAAACAAATTATAAGTAAAATAAAAAAAATAATATTTAATGTTAAGATTTTATTTGAAAAATTAAATATTTCATTAGATGCTAAGGCCGTAATATAAATAATTAATACCAATATACCCCCAATAAAAATTAAAAATAAAATATAAGAAAATCAAAAAGTTTTATATATTAAACCTGATAAAATTCTAATTAAAAAAGTTTGAATTAGTAATATTAAACCTATTGCTAATGGATGTTGAATAAATATAAAAATAAATCTAGATAAAAAATTTATTATTTGAATTATTAAAATAAAAATTTCAAGAAATAGTTTAATTAAAATATTAATTTTGGAGATTAAAGTTAAAATTTGTTTTTTTCTTGATGTTTTAAAAGATAGATTATTTTCTTAAATTTGATTTACAAGACCAATATTTTTATTAAATTATTAAAACATTTATTAGAAATTACTAATGTTAATTTAGTTTTTTTTATTTTTTTATTTATTTTTTATAGGTATTTTAAGTTTTATTTCTAATCGTAAACATTTATTATCTATATTATTAAGTTTAGAGTTTATTGTTTTATCTTTATTTTTAATAATATATTTTTTTTTAAATTTTTATAGATCTGAGTTATATTTTTCAATTATATTTTTAATTTTTAGAGTTTGTGAGGGGGTGTTAGGAATCTCAATTTTAGTTTCTTTAATTCGCAGACATGGAAATGATTATTTTAATTCTTTTTCAGTTTTAAAATGTTAAAGTTTTTATTTTTTATTTTATTTTTGATTCCTATAGTTTTTTTATATAATTCATTTTGATTGGTTCAAAATTTTTTATTTTTTATATTTTTTTTAATAATATTATTTTTAAATTATAGTGGCTATTTTGTTAATTTAAGTTTATTATTTGGTATTGATTTACTATCTTTTGGTTTAATTTTATTAAGAGTTTGAATTTCTTTATTAATAATTATGTCAAGAGAATTGTTAAAAAAAAATAAAAATTTTGTTAGCTTATTTATTTTTTTTATTTTAATATTATTGTTATTATTAATGTTGACTTTTTCTTGTTTTAATTTTTTTTTGTTTTATTTATTTTTTGAAAGAAGTTTAATTCCTACATTATTTTTAATTTTAGGTTGGGGGTATCAACCTGAACGCATTCAAGCCGGATTTTACTTATTGTTTTATACTTTATTAGCTTCTTTTCCTTTATTAATAGTAATTTTTTTTATTATATTTAAATATAATAGAATTATATTTTTTTTTTTTATAGATTTTTTTAATTTAAATTTTTTATTTTATTTAATATTAATTTTTGCTTTTTTAGTTAAAATACCTATATTTTTAGTTCATCTTTGATTACCAAAAGCTCATGTAGAAGCCCCAGTAGCCGGGTCTATAATTTTAGCGGGGATTTTATTAAAGTTAGGGGGGTACGGGTTGTTACGAATTTTTCCTTTAGTTTTAAATTTAGGGGTTAAATTAAATTTTTTTTTTATTTCTATTAGATTAATTGGTGGGGGTTTAATTAGACTGTTGTGTTTACGGCAGGTAGATATAAAATTATTGATTGCATATTCTTCTGTAGCCCATATAGGTATTGTTTTAGGGGGACTATTAACATTAACAAGTTGGGGATTAATAGGGGCTTATACTTTAATATTGGCACATGGTCTTTGTTCTTCTGGCTTGTTTAGAATTGCAAATATAAGCTATGAGCGTTTAGGAAGACGGAGCTTGTTTATTAATAAAGGATTATTAAATATAATACCAAGAATGAGAATATGGTGATTTTTTTTTTGTTCTGGAAATATAGCTGCTCCACCAACTCTAAATTTATTAGGGGAAATTAGTTTATTAAATAGAATTATTAGTTGAAGAATTTTTAGAATTATATTTTTAACTTTTTTATCTTTTTTTAGAGCTGCTTATTCTTTGTATCTTTATTCATTTAGACAACAGGGGAAAATATTTTCAGCTATTTTTTCTTTTAGAGCGGGATTTGTGCGGGAATATTTAGTTTTATTTTTACATATTTTTCCTCTTAATTTATTAATTTTAAAAAGAGAGTTAATTTTTTTATGGTTATAAAAAATTTTTATTTAAATAATTTAATAAAAATATTGATTTGTGGTATCAAAAATATAAATTTAATTTATTTTAAATTATTCGATTATTTAAATCAATTAATTTTTTATATTTTATATTATTATTTATATTAAGTTTATTATTTTTTTTTTGCTGTTTATTATTTTTATTTAAAGATTTGATTTATTTTATTGAGTGAGAATTTTTATCCTTTAATTCTTGTGCAATTATTATAACTTTTTTATTTGATTGAATAAGTCTTTTATTTTTAAGATTTGTGATATTTATCTCTTCTTTAGTAATTTTTTATAGAATTAATTATATAAAAAGTGATTTATTTATTAATCGATTTATTATTTTAGTATTATTATTTGTTTTTTCTATAGCTATATTAATTATTAGACCTAATTTAATTAGAATTTTATTGGGTTGGGATGGTTTAGGGTTAGTTTCTTATTGTTTAGTTATTTATTTTCAAAATATTAAATCTTTTAATGCGGGGATGCTAACTGCTTTGACTAATCGGGTTGGGGATGTTTTTTTATTAATTAGAATTGCTTGAATAATAAATTATGGGAGATGAAGTTTTATTTTTTATATTGAAATTATAAAAAATGATTATTCAATAAAAATTATTGCGGTTTTAATTTTGATAGCGGCTATAACTAAAAGAGCCCAAATTCCTTTTTCATCTTGATTACCAGCAGCAATAGCAGCCCCCACTCCTGTTTCGGCTTTAGTTCATTCTTCTACTTTAGTAACTGCGGGGGTATATTTATTAATTCGTTTTAATATTTTAATATTAAATTCTTTATTAGGATCAATTCTTTTATTTATTGGGGGGCTAACTATATTAATAGCTGGGATTTGTGCTAATTTTGAGTTTGATTTAAAAAAAATTATTGCATTATCTACTTTAAGACAGTTAGGATTAATAATAAGAATTTTGTCTTTAGGATTTTCAAAATTAGTTTTTTTTCATTTATTAACTCATGCTTTATTTAAGGCGTTATTATTTTTATGTGCGGGCACCATAATTCATTCTTTAAACAATTCACAAGATATTCGGGATATAGGGTCTTTAATTAATACTTTGCCATTTTCAGTTTCTTGCTTTAATATTTCAAATTTAGCTTTATGTGGGTTTCCTTTTCTTGCTGGGTTTTATTCTAAAGATTTAATTTTAGAGCTTTCTTTATATTCTAATTTTAATTTGATTTCTTTTATTTTTTTTTTTTTTTCAACAGGATTAACTGTTAGATATTCCTTTCGACTTACTTATTATTCTTTTTTTATAAGATTAAATTTTAAGTCTTTAAATAATATGATAGACGAAAATTGAATTATATCAAAAAGATTATTTTTTCTTTCTTTAATAGCTATAATTGGAGGATCAGTTTTAAATTGAATATTATTTGATTCTAATATATTAATTTATTTACCTTTTTTTTTAAAAGTTTTTACTTTAATTATTTGTTTTATAGGTGGAATGATAGGATATTTTCTAAGTTTTAGTTCTTTTTTTTCTATTAATAAATCTTTCAGGTTTTATAGTTTTTTTATTTTTCAGAATTCTATATGGTTTTTTCCTTTTATATCAACCATTTCAGTAATTTATTGACCCTTAGTTGTAGGACAGGGTTTAATAAAAAATTTTGATCAGGGTTGATCAGAATTTTTTGGGGGTCAAAATTTAAATAAGTTTTTAAAAAATTTTTCTATCATTAATCAATTTTTTTTTTTAAATAATTTAAAAATTTATTTAATATTTTTTGTTTTTTGAGTAATTTTTTTAGTATTTTTTTTATTTATTTATTCAATTAGCTTATAAATTAGAGCATAATACTGAAGATATTATTGAAATTATTAATTAATTATTGAATATTAACTTAAATAGAAAAAAAATAATTAATAGTTTTTTAGCATATAAAAAAAATCTATAAAATTTTTTTTAAATTTGTTTTTACAGTGAAAATGTAATGTTTTATTAAACTATATAAATTTTATTTAAAAAATAAAAATGGATTTTAACCATTAAAGATTAAAGTTAGCGGCTTTATCGTGATTCTTCTTATTTTTATTTAATTGGAATTGTAATACCTAATTCAATTTTATTATTAACAGTAATATACCTCTTTTTTTTTGGTTTCAATTAAATCAAACTTAATTAAATAGAATGAATTTTATCATTAAATATCAGGTCGAAACTAATTGCATTTTTTTTTGCTTCAATTTAATTATAATTTAAGAAAAATTGAATTTCAATAATTTTTGAATGCAAAACAAATATTTTTTTTAAATTATATTCTTTAATTTTTAATTATTTTGTTCAATTTAAGGTGCCTTGTTTTCATTCATGATAAAGTCCAATTAATAAAATAATAATAAAAATAATAGAAGTTAATATTCAACATATTAAGTTAGAAATTTTAAAAATATTAATTATTGGTAAGATTAAAACAATTTCTACATCAAAAATTAAAAAAATAATAGCAATTAGAAAAAACTGAATAGAAAATGGTAGTCGTGAAGAATTTATAGGGTCAAAACCGCATTCAAAAGGAGATATTTTTTCACGGTCTGAAAGATTTTWTTTTGAAAAAATAGTAGCTAATATTATAATAAAAATTGAAATAATTAAAATTAATAGTCTAATAAAAAATAATAAAATAATTATTTATATTAAATTTTTATTTAAATCTAATGATTGGAAATCATTTATACTTTTTGTACTATATAAATTTATCTGCCTCATCAGTAAATTGAAATATAAAGAAATAATCAAACAACATCTACAAAGTGTCAATATCAAGCAGCAGCTTCAAATCCAAAATGATGGTTTTTAGAGAAATGATTATTTAAATGTCGAATTAAACAAATGATTAAAAAAGTTGTTCCAATTAATACATGAAATCCGTGGAATCCTGTAGCTATAAAAAAAGTGGATCCATAAATAGCGTCTGCAATTGAAAAGGAAGCTTCTATATATTCATAAGCCTGTAATATAGTAAAATAAATACCTAAAATAATTGTAAATAATAATCTTTGAGAAGTTTGTGAGTGATTATTTATTAAAAGTCTGTGATGTGATCATGTCACGGTTACCCCTGAAGATAATAAAATTGCAGTATTTAATAAAGGTACTTGAAATGGATTGAAAATTAAAATTCCTATTGGAGGTCATATTATTCCTAATTCAATAGTAGGTGAGAGGCTTCTATGAAAAAAAGCTCAGAAAAATCTAATAAAAAAAAAAATTTCTGAAATAATGAATAAGATTATTCCTCATCGTAGGCCAAAAATAACAGGGGTAGTGTGTAATCCTTGAAAAGCCCCTTCTCGGGAAATATCTCGTCATCATTGATATATTGTAAATATAGTAATTAAGTTTCCTAATACAAATAGATTAATTTCATATTTGTGGAATCATTTTAATAATCCTAAAACTATTGAAAAAGCTCCAATAGCTCCTGTTAAAGGTCAAGGGCTAAAATCAACTAAATGATAGGGATGGTTAGAATGATGTATAATTAAAATATTTTTGTTATTTTGTGTTATCATTTTACTATTTTTATAATTTTAATATACTTCTCTAGAATATAGGGTTGATAAAATAGCAAATACATAAGATTGAATAATTGCCACTGCTCTTTCTAAAATTAAAAGGGCAATTTGTCTAAAAATTAATAAATTTAATATAAATAATGATAATATATTGCCGGTATTACCTATTAATGTTATTAATAAATGACCTGCAATTATATTTGCAGATAATCGGATAGCTAGTGTTCCTGGTCGGATTAGGTTTCTAATTGATTCAATTAACACTATAAAAGGCATTAAGATAGAAGGAGTTCCTTGAGGTACTAAATGAGAGAATATATGATTTGTATTATTAATTCACCCAAAAATTATAAATCTTAATCACAAAGGTAAAGCTAGTGTTAATGTTATAGAAAGATGGCTTGATCTTGTAAAAATAAAAGGAAATAGCCCTAAAAAATTATTAAATAAAATGAAATAAAATAAAGATAAAAAAATAAGTGTTATGCCTTTTTTATTTTTTAATAAGGTTTTAAATTCTTTATGGAGGTTAAATACAATAACATTTCATAATTTATTAATTCGTGACGGTAGAATTCAAAAATAAAATGGGATTAAAATTAAACCAATTATTGATCTTATTCAGTTTAAAGAAAAATTAAAAATTCTTGTTGATGGATCAAAGATTGAAAATAAATTTGTTATTATCATATTCATTTTAAAAATAATAAATTATTGTTTAATTGTTTATTTATTTTTTTGTAAAAATTAAAATTTTTTTTATTATTGATTGAGAAAAAATTAATAATATTAAAAATAAAAAATATTAAAGTAAAAAATAAAAATAAAACTAATCAACTTATTGGTGCTATTTGAGGAATAAAAAAATATTAAAAAAAAATTAATAATTTTAGTTTGACAAACTAATGTTATATTATTTTAACTAATTTTTTTATTTCATTAGAAATAATCGTTATTTTATTATTTAATGGTTTAAGAGACCAGGACTTACTTTCAGCCATCTAATGATTTATGATTTTTAGTTTATTAAAATAAAAAACTAAAATTAATTATTAAAGTTTTTTACTCATTTAATAAAATATTTTGTTGGAATTCTTTCAATCACAATTGGTATAAATCTATGATTAGCTCCGCAGATTTCTGAGCATTGACCAAAAAACAATCCTGGTCGATTAATAAAAAAATTTATTTGATTTAACCGTCCCGGGGTTGCATCAACTTTAATCCCCAATGATGGGATTGTTCAGGAATGTAGAACATCTGCAGCAGAAACAAGCATTCGAATTTGATTATTTAATGGGAGAATAATCCGATTATCTACATCTAATAGTCGAAAAGAATTATTATTTAAATCTTTAATATTAGTTATATATGATTCAAATTCTATATTTAAAAAATCTGAATATTCATATTTTCAATATCATTGGTGACCAATAGTTTTTAAAGTAATAGTAGGGGAATTAATTTCATCTAATAAATATAATAATCGAAGAGAGGGGAGTGCGATAAATATTAAAACAATAGTTGGTAAAATTGTTCAAATAATTTCAATAGTTTGACCGTGTAATAAAAATCGATTAGTAAATTTATTAAAAAATAATATAATTATTAAATAAGCTACTAAAATAGTAATTATAATTAAAACTAGTAGTGAATGATCATGAAAAAAGTTTAATTGCTCTATTAAAGGAGAAGATCTGTCTTGCAAATTTAAGTTTGATCATGTTGCCATTATTTGTTTTTCTAATAAAAGGGTTAATCTTTATTTATGAAGCTTAAATTCATTGCACTAATCTGCCATATTAGATTTAATGTTTTTATTATATACCTAAATTAAGTTAATATAGGAAGTTCTGAATAACTGTGTTCTAACGGGGGTATTTTTTGGTATCATTCAATAGATGAAGTAAGATTTATTGAATATAGGGGAATTCGAAGAGTAATTATTCTTTCTCATATAATTATTAAAAATATAATAATTCCTAATAAAGAGATAGTAGAGCCTAAGGTAGAAATAATATTTCAAGAACTATAGGCATCAGGATAATCGGAGTATCGTCGGGGTATTCCAGCTAATCCTAAAAAATGTTGGGGAAAAAATGTTAAATTTACTCCTAAAAATATAATATAAAATTGGGATTTTAATCAATTATCATTTATTATTAGACCTGAAAATAGAGGGTATCAGTGAACAAATCCGGCTATAATAGCGAATACTGCGCCCATTGATAATACATAATGAAAATGAGCTACAACATAATAGGTATCATGTAAAATAATATCAATAGAGGAGTTTGCTAAAATAACTCCCGTTAATCCTCCTACTGTAAATAAAAAAATAAAACCTAAAGTTCATAATAGAGAGGGAGAGTTATTTATTTGAGTACCATGGATTGTGGCTAATCAACTAAAAATTTTAATGCCTGTTGGAACTGCAATAATTATTGTTGCAGAAGTAAAATAAGCACGAGTATCAACATCTATACCTACTGTAAATATATGATGAGCTCAAACAACGAAACCTAATAATCCAATAGCTAATATAGCATAAATTATTCCTAAAGCTCCAAAAGTTTCTTTTTTTCCTCTTTCTTGACTAATAATATGAGAAATTATACCAAATCCTGGTAAAATTAAAATATATACTTCAGGATGTCCAAAAAATCAAAATAAGTGTTGGTATAAAATAGGGTCCCCCCCTCCGGCAGGGTCAAAAAATGAAGTGTTTAAATTTCGGTCTGTTAAAAGTATGGTAATAGCCCCTGCCAATACTGGGAGAGATAGTAATAATAAAATTGCAGTAATAAAAACAGATCAAACAAATAAGGGTATGCGATCTAAATAAATTCCTATCGACCGTATATTAATAATAGTGGTAATAAAATTTACTGCTCCTAGAATAGAGGAAATTCCAGCAAGATGAAGAGAAAAAATAGCAAAATCTACCGATCTTCCTGTGTGAGCAATACCTGAAGATAGGGGGGGATAAACAGTTCAACCTGTTCCTGCCCCATTTTCCACTAATGAACTTGAAATTAAAAGAGTTAATGAAGGGGGTAATAATCAAAATCTTATATTATTTATTCGGGGAAAGGCTATATCAGGAGCTCCTAATATTAAAGGTACTAGTCAATTTCCAAATCCCCCAATTAAAATTGGTATAACTATAAAAAAAATTATAATAAAAGCATGGGCTGTTACAATAACATTATAAATTTGATCATCTCCAATTAATGAACCAGTGTGACCAAGTTCAGCCCGAATTAGAATTCTTAAAGAAGTTCCAATTATTCCGGATCAGGCGCCAAAAATAAAATATAAAGTTCCAATATCTTTATGATTTGTAGAAAATAATCATTGTTGCATGGATTCTTTTATTAAAAAGATTAAATGGCTGAAATATTAGGCGTTAAATTGTAAATTTAATTATGAAATTATTTTCTTTAATCATTTTTATTAAGTTTTATAGTCTAAATAAGACTTTAAATTGCAAATTTAAAAATATAAAAATTTATTTATTAAAACTTAATAAAAAGATAATTATTTTTAACTTTGAAGGTTAATAGTTTAAAATTAACTTAAAGTTTTATTTTAAGTTTAATTTATCAGTTTATTTTTTATTTATTATTTAAAAAAAAAAGTAAAAAAAATTTATTGTTAATAAATTTATTAATGAAAAAAAAGAAATTATAAATAAAAGTTTATAGTTTATTGTTAAATTAAAAATATTTTTTGTATTTCATTTTACATTTTTATGATTAAATAAAAATATTGAATAACTTAAGCGTAAATAAAAATATAGGGTAATTAATCTAAAAAATATAATAATTAATAAAATAAAAAAAGAATTATTTTTTATTATTAATTCAATAATTATTCATTTTGGGAAGAATCCTAAAAAAGGAGGGAGACCCCCTAATGATAATAAATTAATAAATAAAAATAATTTTATAATTAAATTTAAGTTTTTTATTAAAAAAACTTGATTAATAAAATATAGATTAAAAATTTTAAATATTAAAATAATTGAAAAATTTAAAAAAATGTAAAAATAAAAATAATTTATTCAGATTTTTTCATTAAATAATATTCCAGATAAAATTCATCCTAGATGATTAATTGAAGAAAATGCTAATAGTTTTCGTAAAGAGGTTTGATTTAATCCTCCTAATCTTCCAAAAATTACACAATTAATAATACAAAAAATAATAAAATTATAATTTAAATTTAAAGAAATAATTATTAAAGGAGCCATTTTTTGTCAGGTTATTAATAAAAAATTATTTATTCATTTTAATCCTTCTATAACACTTGGAAGCCAGAAATGAAAAGGAGCTGCACCTATTTTTAAAAGAATTGAAATTAAAAAAATTAAATTAATAAATGAAAAATTTAAAGATTTTAAATTCATTATTAAAAAAATTAATAAAATTGAAAAAAAAAAAATAGAAGAAGCCAGAGCCTGAATTAAAAAATATTTTAATGAGGATTCAGAAGAAAATAAATTTTTTGATCTTATTATTAGGGGGATAAAAGATAATAAATTAATTTCTAATCCTATTCATATTCTAATTCAGGAAATAGAAGAAATAGAAATTATTGTTCCAATTATTATAAATAATAAAAATAATATTTTATAAGAATTATTTAAAATTAAAAAGAAAAGATTTTTGTTTCTTTATAATTAGGGTATGAACCTAATAGCTTAAATTAGCTTATCTTTTTTTTAATAATATATTTTAATGTAAGAAGCATAAAAGATTTTGATTCTTTTAGAAATAGTTTAATTCTATTAAATGTAAATTTTAATAGATATAATTAATATTTAATTATATAATTTATTCTATCAAAATAATCCTTTTTCAGGCAATCTATT